GCATCTATGAATGTAGGAATAATGCTTTCCTCTTCATGTTCATGCTAAGCACATGCTCTACAATTGAACTCCACCTCACTCGCCAGCAGAAGAGCTTCAGTGTGGCAAGGGAGAGTGGAGGCACCCTGTACAGGGGTTAAACATATAAAGAAATTTGTTTAATACGAAAGAGTGGTTTAGAAAGCAAATAGGAAAGGCTTGGAAAAGTCTTGTGGTAAACAGTAAAATAAAAAAAAATTAAGGTTTTAAAGGTGGTATTTAATGGATTTGCCCACACAAACCTTGTTTGTGTAGCAGCTATCAACCTCTGACAACAGTAGGGCTGTGTGGATTTCAGCCCGGGGAATATTGGCAGAGCAGTCAAGCATATCACTCCCCAGGGGAAAGGTGCCAAATGATGGTGAACAGAATTCTCAGGCATCTGGAGGGCACTGCTTGGACAAAGATGAGTCAGCTTCAAGGACTCCCAGTTTGATGGGATTTATTCACTGCATTTTGTCTGTTCAACTCAGTTAGACCAAGGACTATGAAATCAAGGACAATTAGATTTTCCTTTGATCCTTGCAACATCTGGCTCATCACAGATCAAAATAATAAATCTTAAGTAAACATTTGCCTCTACTGACTCATCAGATGAATAAAAAAAATTAACAGCAATAAATGGTTTTTATTTATTTTCATTTCTTTTTCAATTTCTCACGATTTTTACCAGCCTGGAATTGAACTGGGCATCCTCTGCCTCTGCACCCCGTGTGCTGGGATTGCAGGCTGATACACATGGGATGGCACACAAACTAGGCATAGATTTTGTGTCTTAATTCTTTTCATCCTTGTTGGTAATTTAGTTACCTTTTACATTTTATCCTACTGTTAATTATACACACATGTCAAAATATTTGTGAATATTTTTAAAGGTGAATTTTAATTTTTTATTTGTGTGTGTGTGTGTGTGTGTGTGTGTGTGTGTGTGTGTGTGTGTGTGTATGTGTGCACATGTGCACGGTGTACCTAAGGAGGTCAAAAGAGGGTGTTGGGTTCCCTGGAGCTGGACTAAACACTCTTAACCACAGAGGTGTCTCTCTAGCCCCTTGTGAATTTTTACTAACAAATATTATTTACACATTTAAATATGCAATATGCCTTTACACTTTATCCTTAAAAATTTTATAGAGTAGTCATGGGAAAAAGGCTCAAAAATCAATATGCGATATTATGGGTTATCAAAATATTTTTTCTAAAATTTTTCCTAATTTGTTTACATAAATTGAAAAGGGGGAAAGTAGTGAGGAAGATTTGAGGGAAACTATAGCTCATTAATTACGTTAAAGCACTAATTTTTTGAGGTAAAATTTATTGAGGTATAAAATGCCCACATAGGTGATGAAAATGTGTTATAAGGAAAATTCTCCTTGGCAAGTCTTTAATTTTCTTACATCATTATTCATTATTTGTGGGTGTGGATTTTCACATGCCAGAGGATAACTTGCAAGAAGTAAGTTCTCTCCTTTTGGTCCCAGGGATCAAACCTAGGCATTCATTGAGGAGCCATATGTTGCAAGGATCAAAGGAAAACCTAAAGGGCCATCCTAGTTAACTTATATAATATAATAAACATGTTTTCATATATAAAAGGCTAATATGCAGTACATGTTATCACACAACTGTAATAGATATGCAGCAATGTGATATATCCCATATAGAGAAATGCACAATAACCAACACTGTAAGAAGATAAGCATAATTTATAAATATTTATAACTTTACAAATGATAAAGAGAACAACTTATTGTGTGATTCCACCACGGTATAAAAAAGAAAGGCATTACTGAGAATTTAAACATTCAATACCAGTATAGTTATGAATTATAGTTTTATTTTTTTAACCAAACTGAATGCTAAATGCCATGCATTTGCTACTATTTCCTTAGGAAAGCATTTGCTCTGTGAACAATAAATGTGAAGACATTGGTCGAAACCTCTTGTCTCAGGGCTGCTTCATAGTCTCCTTCAACATTTACAGAACTGTGCTTATTTAGGGGAGAATTCTGGGACATATTGCTGATACACATCTTGTTCTGAGAATGCAGTTTGGGACTGTTCCATAAACACAGAGTTGCATTTGATATTGCCAGGGATCACTGCTCTGTGTAGACATGAGGTTTCATCAGCTGAGAGATACCTGTCTATAAAGGACCTACACCATCTTCCTCCACTGGGGGCGGGGGTTCCTTAGTGCCTTTGCCAGCCCTGGGGCTGTTGTGCACAATAGGATCATCCCTCCCACTCATGACAAATGTGACCAACCCCTGGCCTTTCTGCTCACGATAGTTGATTTGGAGAAGTGTGTGTGTGGCAAGGGGGCAGGTGTAGGAAAACCTCTGTGCAATCATAAAAACTCTCCCATGAGTCCAGAAACCTGAAGTCATCTGAACACAAGGCATCATATTTATTTCCCTTCTTTTTAACCTGATTTTGTGGTTTAGTAAAAACTTTTGCCATAAATATTTCTCTGCTCAGGCTAAAATGTAAAGGAGATTAGCTCTAGACCCTAGAGTCCAGCACAGAGATTCTCAACCTTTCTAATGCTCTAACCCTTTATTACAGTTCTTCAAGTTGTAGTGACCCCCAACCATAAAACTATTTCACTGCTACTTCATAACTGAAATTTTGCTACTGTTTTTAATCACAGTGTAAATATCGGATATGTGACCCTGTGAAAGTAGTCACAACCCAAAGGTTGACAACAACCGGCCTAGTGTAATCATACTGTATATACACAACCAGACAGAAGACTTTTAATTTAAGGCTAGAAAAGTGACAACCTGGGATTATGATGGATTTAGTAAAAGTTTATGTTTACTTTGAAGACTTAGCCATGTTGCAGTTTCCAATGATGATTTTTAATCATTTAGGCTTCAAGGAGACAATCTGATGGAAAGGGCAGAAGACACACTGCAACCATTTCATTCTCCAGAGGAGCGAATTCCAGATTCATTGGGTAAGTTTTCCATTCAAATGCATTTACTGAAGTTTTAATGATTCAGAATGATTTACAAAAGCATCTTTCCTAAATCAAATGCCCACAGCCCACAGTCACATGCGCATCCTGCCCACCTGGGTTGGGTAGGGCAAATGCCAAATGGAATCCGGATTCTGAAGAGGCAGCTATATGTTGGCTGCTGTCAAAATCATGCCCCTAATTCTAACAGCGTACTCCATTTATCCCTGTTGGCTCGTTAGAAAGTGAAAGGACATTTTGAGTTCCTTGAAAATTGTCGTGTCACTTACTCCCATTCTCGTGCCATTGGTCCATTAGATTCTTGTAGGAAAACAGCAACATCTTATTGAAGACATCACACAAATTCTTTCTTAGCCATTGTTGAGACTGTGAATATTACTTGTTTCTTCTCTAAGTCACACTTCATTTCTTCTGGAGGAGTTTTGTCTGTACCTTTCTCCTCCTTCTCCATCTAATAAAACAGCTTCCTTTTCCTTCATTGTACGGTGTTCTAACTTGTTTTGCTGTTGCTATGAAAAAAAAATACCATGACTAAAGGTAATGAAGGGAAGAGAACATTTACCTCAGTTTATAGGTTATAGTCTGTCATCTAGGGAAGCCAAGTCAGAAGCTCAAGGCATGAACCCTGAGGCAATACTGAAGCTGAGACCAGGGAGGAGGGGATGCTTCTTAATTGCTTGCTCTACGTGGCTTGCACAGCTACATTCTTATACATTGTAGGCCCATGTGCCTCAGCATGGTCTCATCTGCAGTAGGTTGGGCCCTCCTGTATCAAGTTTTCATCAAAAAACTGTTTCACAGACATGCACAAAGGCCAATCTAATAGAGACAATTCCTCAGTTGAGAGTCCTTCTTTCTATGTGTCCTAATTTAATATATGTTGCTGTCATAAGTCACTGACCAAAGCTACCTTGTGTGAGCATGTGGTATTTCAGCTTACACTTCCAAAATACAGTCCATCATTCAGGGGAGCCAAGATCATGAAAGAATGCTTACTTCCCATAGCTTGTTCAGCTTGCCCATGACCATATGCCCAGGGGTAGCACCCCCAGCAGTGATCTGGGTCATCCCACATCAATCACTAACAATGAAAATGCTCTATAGCCTAATCTGGTGGAAACAGTTGCTCAGTTGAGATTCCTTCTTCCTACATGACTCTAGTTTGTAGCAAGTTGACCAAAACTAACCAGTTATGTCTAGGTTTTATATCAAGTTGACAAAATCTGTGACACCGAGCCCCACAGATGTTTACTTTATTATATGTCAAAATTAATAGTATTTATTTCATAACCATTTCTATAGGATACAATGCAAACTCCATAACTCAACATATGAAGCTAAAGCTAGAACACTTCAAAATGCTATCAGAACAAGTGGTACATTCGACGTAATGTTACTTCAGTGGTATCTAAGATGTGTGACTGCTATTTTAACTCCACTCTAGCAAGACAGACAAATCACCCGGAATCAGGATAACCTGAGAAATCACAATAGGAAAATATTTTCCTTATGTCTGAATGGATAACATCTTAAAGCAGACATAAAAGTCCATAATCATTAGAGATACCATGAAACAATAATGTACTATATGCTCCAAAAGCTAGAGAGAGGGTTTTTGAATAATTGTTACCACAAACAAATGAAATAATGAATATTTTTATAAGGACAAATATTTTTAATTTTATACTAGTATTTCATAAATGCTTAGTGAAATGAAACATTCCGAGGTTACTTCACTAATCTGTACAGTTTTCATGTTATAATTTATCATTTTAATTAATTTAACTTGAATTAAAAATTGAGGTGAAAAGAGAGTGAAAACTTCAACTATAGAAAATTGAGAACTGTGGAGCCGAGGAGTCTGCTTAGCAGGGAAAGTGCTTGTTGCACATGTGTGAGAGCTGAGTTCTGATGCTTCCTGTCCACATAAACACTGGGCAGGGTAGCACACACCTGGAAAACACCTGTGCTGGTGGAGTAGCAGCAGAAGAAACCCAGGGCCTCACTGGCCAGCCAGTCCAGCTAATAAGTGAGCTCCAGAAGCAGTGGGAGACCATATGTTAAATAAAAATCAGATGGGAAATGATAGAAGAGGATGCTAGCACCTGGCCTTTATAAACCTCCGCATAGCACATATACCAGCATGCATACTCCACACATAGTCATATGTGCAAAACAGTTTTTAAAGGGAAAATGAAGGATTCTTTATCAAAAATGCCCTGGGAAAAAATAAAATGAGAAAATATATCTGCAGTATAGTTTTCACTGCCCAAAGATGAGATTTCAAAAATGAAGATCACCTATAATTTAATAAGATCAAAAAGCCATTGAGAAATAACCAACAGACTGAACAGACATGTCAAAGAAAAGGAAATGCAACTATCAAGTATATGAAATATGATCCATTACCTTGGAAAACAGGAAAAATCAAATGGAGACTCCTTTTTTTCATATAATATAGCAAGGTTAATAAATTGATAATGAATTTAAGCATCATTGATTGTTCATAGTGTTTCATTTAATAAAATAAAAATAGCATTTCAAATGGAGACTCTTATGAAGAGTTTTATAACAATTTTTGGTATTAATTAACAAATCTGACAAAAGAGGCAGTATCTAAACCATTTGAGAAAAGTTTTCTATTATCTTATAATCTTGAGCATTTACAGGATGGAAGCCCTAGAAACTGTGTATCTGGATAAATATCTTAGAGGAACCAACATCATGCCCCAGGGACTGTGAACAATCCCTGTTAGGCTGTCCATAAATGATGAAATCAAGGAGCTGTGCAATTTACACTGTAGGGACTCAAATGCATTCTAACTGCACACACAGGGTGCATAAAGACAGTAACAGGCTGGTAAAAGTTCAGCAAAAAGTGGTTTGCAGAACTGCTGATTTCCCTCATGCCATTTAGCCCAGCCACTGTGTCTGTTTATCAACTCGAAATGACAGTTAGTTCTCTGGTGAGCAAGTTTGAACCCCCATTGCGTGCGCCTTAAGTTCATAAATGTTGACTTGACAAAACTAAGTCAGGGGATGGGTTCTCATGAGGAGATTTCTAGAGAGTCTTCCCTAGGAAAACATACCTAAGTGAAGAAACCATAGTACAAGAGGGAATGATAGACTTGAATGAGGAGTTATCCTCAGGACATGAGGGAGCTGAAAGACATGATCAGGAAGGAGCCCTCAGGAAGGTGAAGGCTATTAGGAATGCTCTGATTCCTATGGTAGGTTACGAGCTTGGGGTGTTTAATTATTGTACTTTATAAGTTAAATTTACTATGTGTTTTATTCATAGAACACATTTTATATACTATATTTGGAATTTTATTTACATATAATTTCATATGTTGACAATCACCTAATAATATTTAAAATGGTACAGGAACATAAACCACTACTAGTGACTATTTACAAGGAAACCATGATAGTTTACATGTGTTCAGATCTGTTACTGAACAGAGACGTGCATTTTCAAGAGTTCTTAAACTCTGACAATAAGAGTAGAGTCCCAAATGACTAGCAACATGGAGGCCCATGATGGCAATTCATCAGTTGACTGTCTCCTCTTGTGTGTATTGCAAGGCTCCCTATGCTCAGGCTACTCTTTCCTGGTTGGTAGTGGCTTCCTTTCGCTGCCTGTAGTATTCATACCATTTACCCTAAGGTCATACTAAGTGTCCCTGATGTCCACCATACATCAGTGTTTCCTTTTTTTTTAAACTCCTAATTGTTTTTGAATCAGTATTTGTTCTCACTTCAGATGATTTCATGCTTCTTAAGGCTTTCATGCTCAATATAAAAGTAACACAACACAGACACTGTTTAACAACTCAGCCATTAAATACATCTATACTCTTTAGCAACTGCATATACATATTTGCTGTAGAGACTTAAATATCTTGGGAAATTAAATAATACAACTAGTAATATGCTTTTGATTATACTTACATCTGCTGGAAAAATGCATTCATTAAGTCTAAGCTCCTTTCTTGAAATATTTATATCCTGCTTTTTCCACACTCCAATATTAGAATACCTAATTAGGAAATTGCAAAATAGGAGCTTCTGCTCCAGTACATTCCTTTCCCCTGAAGTCAGTCAAATCGTGAGATCCCAAAGTTTAGTATCATTAGCATCATCCAAAAATCTCTGATGTGACTTACATGTCAACTGTGCATCTCTATTGAACTTGGCTCAAGATACATATTTCTATAAATAGACCTAATTCTGTGCACAGAAGTTCTTGAAACACGAACAGCTGGTAAAAATGATGACAAGAGGAAGTTTATCATAGCTAAACATTGTGACGAGCATTCAACATTTCAGATCCTGTCAGCATACTCAAGCAATAGATTAAAATTGTAATCCATCAGTTCAAAGACAGCTAATTGAAAAATAAAATTTATTGTTCCATATTTCTGTGCTGTTTCACTAAAGATTCATTTTCTTCTAACCCATTCTGTGACTAAAAAATTTGAACAACTGTAGGTTGTATGTTGAAAGAATGCATGCTCATAAGATAAATTTCTCTGCAGCAGAAAGAACACAATTGTTTACATGTCTGCATGTGCTAGTAAACATTAGCAAAGAAAAGTACTTTAAACACATTAAAAAGTTTGTCCCTTCAAGCATGAGACATTGGATTCTTATTTATATGATATATGTTTTCTCAACATAACTTGTTAGATTGGTATTCCATCACAATTTTAGTCTATTTGCCTGGGTCCCTTTGCCTTTGTCAATTTCAATAATGTAAGACACCAAAACTCGCACTTGCCCTGGGAAAGCCATCACAGGAGTTCAGTGCCAGGCTCTAAGACTACCATCTCTCATAGATTCCATTAGACATGACTCCCATAACCAATGAATATGCAAAACAAGCACTTAGCAAAACATAACCTAAAAAGTTGCCAATATTGCCACCTTGTAAATGTTCATTTTTTGTTAAAAAATTAATGCTATATATGTATTCA